AATAATTACATCAATTATGGTACGGTTTGGAGGATTAAATGCTTAAACTTATTTAATCCATCTAAAGGACTGCAAAAGGATTTTTAAATCTTATATTGGATGCATAATTTGGTTATACACATGTGAGACTTTATTTATGCTAATTTTGGAGTATGATTTATGAGTTACTTATTCCTATTTTGTCAATTATACGGATTTGTGTTTTGTATGCACCGGTATAGGACGGTAGCATACTAGGGATGGATTAGTTAAAAATACTAAGTCCTACCTATTTGGAAATAAGTTAGATTAACTATAAAAGTTAAGTCCTACTTATACATGTGTATATGCACCGGTATGGGACGGTGGCATATTAGAGTAATTGGCTTAGTTCAAAACCTATTCTAGGGACGGATTAGTTCAAATACTAGGTCCTACCTAATCTAAATTGAGGTATAGATTAACCATAATGGTTAAGTCCAACTCATGCTTGTGTCATATCAATAAAATACTTGAATGACCTGCTTTGGTTTCTGGATGGATTGTTATACATATATCAGGCTACTATACCAGATGGATGATATTTTGTATTAGGAGTATACGGACTTTATATATTTAAGTTATGGTGCCATGGTATGAGCTTGAGTCTCAGGACCATGGTTAGGGTGCGTATATCGCCTAGGATAGATAGCTGAACAGTAGTTACTGTTTCCTGGTAGGTCTAGGTACACTTGACCACATTATGTGTGATTTGCATGGTATCTCTACTCAGGCTGAGACAGAACTATTAGACTAGTGAGCGTTCTATAGTGTGTACTTATACATATATGAACTACTCTAATTATTGTTGAGCTATCTAAGATGTATCTGCGTATCGAGTTTCTGTATGGATCGTAATAGAATAGGACTTACATGTGGGCCTAACCCACTCTTTTATTTTTCAGGTGCTCGTCAATTCCAAGGTTAGAGCTTGGTCTTGCAAAACAGATACAAACACTTATTCCTCCGACTACATAGGACTATTTTCCATGTTTGGCTTTAGATTTTATTTCAGTTGTTTCAGTTTCAGTTTGGGATATTATTAGGGGTCGACAAGATGGATTCCCGAGTTATTAATTAAATAGAGGTTTTGGATTATTGGATTTTAACATTATTACTTTGAGGATTTTATTTAATTGGAATTCTTTTCAGCTTATTATTTTATTCTTATTTCATATTTGTATTCTGTGTTCATTTAAATATTAATTGTTTGATATTTCCCTCGGGTTTGTGCTTGGGCCTAATCAACCCCTGTCTCGGATCCGAGGGGTATCACAACCTCATCAAAAAAAGTCCCTCTATAACCTGTTAAAATACAACAAAAAAAAAAAGATGCAATGGCCTCACGGGGCCTTAAAAATAACCTATCATGTCTCAACGCACAATACAGATATTATATCACATTTCCAAAATGATTGCATACGTATCAAAAATCCCATTCCACCATTTCATCCAAACAAGAAACACACCTTAGTTACATTAAGTTACAGTCCATAAAATGTAGCTAGAATTTAAAAGTCCATAGCTTACAACATTGTACCAATTAAACTAAAATTTCTTAAAATAGTTAAGATTATATTTACAAAATATTAGAGTTATAATATAAAAGATAGCAAAATAAAATGAGTCTCCAAGCTCATCTAAACCTGTAGTGGATCGTCATCCGTCACCTCTTTTCCATGTCCTGAAAAATGTTAAAAATAATAGAGTAAGCATAAGCTCAGTAGGAAGTGTCTAAGACACACTTCTTACATCCCCGTGAATCCCACACAAAGAATAGATAAAAGGGACGAGGTCATACTATGGGGAAAACATAATCTCAATCACAACAACAAACATAGTATAAATATCATCCAATCACAAATTTCCCACATGTACCATGAAGTATAATGTCATACATATGCCACTCCCCGTTTTCGAAACAATTCTGTTTCAACAACCAAACCGTTAGTGTAATCCAACCCAAGGCACCTCTAAGGCGTCATAAGAAAAAAGTTGGTTAACTATCCACGACCACAAGGCACCTCTAAGGCGTCGCATCCGGACTAATTAACTCAACTACATTCCCTTCTAGACTACACCAACATCACGGACCACTAGGCGCCTGCTAGTCGTTCGGTTTTCGCAACACTTTTAGAAAATATTTTCCCCAAAATAATTTCGTTTGTTCTAAAAATATTTTTTTTCCCTTTCTCTTTCCTAATGAATGCATGAATGTTTGTGCTTCAATTTATTAACCCAACCACATAACTTTCACACACACTATACAAGGAAAATTTATAAACTACATGATGGATCTCTCATTTAATATTAACTTTGCATAACTAGCATGTACAATATAAATTCAATTTCATACAAATATGTAAGCATACTAAATCACCTTAAAACAATTAACAAATAGTCACATACATTCCATGCTTATTATTTTAAACAAATCTTTGCAATAATTAGCACTAATTAAATATGTTAGGCATCACTTTAAGCTAGAAACTCACAAAAATACAATAATTCATGCATTAGAACACCCCTACCTCAAATTTGATGAAAACCTCCAATTTGAGCCCAAGAACCCTATAATTTCAAAATCCCTAGAGTGCACTAAAAATGATATTTCTGGTACTCACACGTAGATCTCGCCGTGCTCTTCGATTTGCCGCAAACGGCTCCTAAAAATTCCAAGAATGAAAGGATCAATCAAAGCTTGAAATTGTAAAAGAAAAAAAAAGAAAAGGAAAATTAAGCTACTGGAATCGGACGAGAGAGAGAGAGATACGCAGAGAGAAAAAAAGGCAGTCTAGTCAATGGCCATTAGGCCTTTTTGTGGTGTTTAAAATATTGGTGGGGCCTACTAGCTTTTAAAAAAAATCTAATAACTTTAAGACACACACACACACACACACACACACACACACACACACACACACACACATATATATATATATATATATAAAACCTTAAAACATTACAGTCTCCCTAACTTTAAAAGATTTCGTCTCCGAAATCAAACCATACCTGAGGGAGAAAACCAATCTGGATACTTGGAGCGAACCTCCTGTTCGAGCTCCCAAGTAGCCTCCTCAACTCCATGATGCCTCCAAAGAACCTTTACCAACGGTATGGTCTTTTTCCTCAACACCTTCTACTGTGTGTCAAGGATCTGAACTGGTCCCTCATCGTAGGAAACATCCTCATCAATGTCCACATCAACCCAACTCAAAATGTGAAACGGATCTGGCTCGTACTTTTGTAGCATCGATACATGGAAAACATTATGAACCTTGTCCATCTGCGGTGGCAATGCTAGTTTGTAGGTAACCTCTCCTACACGATCCAAGATCTCAAAAGGTCCAATGAATCGTGGCGACAACTTGCCACTCTTCCCGAACCTTATCAACCCTTTCGTGGATAAACCCGAAGAAAAACGTGATCTCCCACCTCAAAGGATAGCAGTCGTCTCCGCCTATCTGCATAACTCTTCTGTCGGCTTTGAGCTGTAAGTAATCTCTGCCTGATCAGCTTAATCTTCTCGGTAGTCTCGAGTATAATGTCGGGTTCTAAGGCGACTGTCTCACCCACTTCAGTCCAACAAATCAATCCAGGCTCTGTCCTGAGAAACTTTTGTGCTCACATCAGAGGAAGGATTATTTCTCCAATGTAAAATATTTTTTTGAAAAATATTTATTTATTTATCTCTTTTTTTTGGTGTTTGGTTGTTCAAAAAACAAAAACAAAAAAAGTTATATATTTTATTTGTTAAATTTTTTGTAGGCTTTTAAAAAAAGAGTAATGGATAAGCAAGAGATTGAATAATCAATGCATCAAATAAGAGCTTCAATTTTCATTTAAAAACCCTTTCAGAAGTCAAACACTAAAAAATATTTTCAAGACCTTTGCCAAACATTGAAAAATAAAAAATAGAAGAACGTTTTACATGAAGAAGGTATTATTTGAAAAATATTTTATAAGGAAAAAATTTTACACCCAAATAAATGAAGCCTAAATCTTAAAGAATGAACAATAAAAAACTTGAATGGCTGAATAATTGTAATGAATTTTTTATTTATTTATTTTGAAGTTATTGTACAAATTGAATAATAACATGCAGTAGAACCCTACAAAAAGCCTGCTCCAGTCATGGCTACTTTCTCCTCTAAGGGTCCAAACACAACTACCCCAGAGATCCTCAAGGTTTGACACCGGGAACAAGTACCCTTTCTTTCTTTCGTTTTTTTTTTTTTGGACTTAAAACCAATGTACAGTTTTGGCTTCTATAAGATATTTTCAATGTGAATAGTCAAAGCCCAATTAGCTACCAAATCACTTGTAACAACTTTAAAACATTTGATGGTAACTAATAATTTGGTTAGACCGTTGGGCATGTCTATTCACTTTGAATAGCATTTTGTAATTAACAGATCTCCATTTTTTATTTTTGGGTTAATATTCATCCTGATATCACTGGACCAGGAGTAAATGTGATAGCTGCATATATTGGATCAACTTTGGGACCCTTTAATAAGTGCACTAAATTTTTCTAGGCCTCGAGGCCTAGACTTGAATTAGATATTAGTGTTTTACATCCCAAAAAACACACTAAAACAAGATCGAATATAATTATGATAATGCAATTGCTTGTAGAAATGACATCAGCACAAATTGTTAGTTACTTCACGGCATGGGGCAAATTGATATGTAAACCCAAACCTTAAGAGAGATAGGTGGAATTATGAAACGTAGAGGGGATGTAAATAGCATATTGACAAACCTCAGGGAGTGTAGATGGAATTAACCCTTAATAAAAAAAACTCTAAGAATCTAATTTATAATTTTGTTTTCTTTTATAATTAGAGTAACCTGAACTTTCCAATTAGCTTCTCCGGCCTTAATTATCCAAAAAAATGTTATAGCCTTAAACAGAGTGGATAATTTACACAATCATTGTATACATTTACAGATTTTTCAAGATACTTCTTAAAGTACTTTGATAATGGCTAGATTTTCTAAAATTCTGATATTAAAATTGGTAATTTAAGCCACAGTCACAAGTACATAGACAATGACCAAAAAATGCGGATTAAAAGAAGAAAAGAACACAACACATGTATTGACATCCTCTATATGAATCCATCAACCGTCATATCTGTACAAATTGAGTAATAATAATTCAAATAAGTCTTTATGTAACTGCTCCATGTTTACTTCTCTTTCAGTTCACTTTGTTTATACATATATATATATACACACACATATTTATATATATCTACTCCTTTGTTTTAGAGTTCGGGGATTTCAATTCAGGCTCCTTGGCAACCACAATCGGACTCCGGACGTTATGTACCCCATCTGACCATATTAACTCTCCAAATGAATAGTCTTCGTCATCACTAGCTTTTTTATTTTTCTGATCTTCTTTCAATGTCACAGAAAATGTCTTCTGTTCACCACCCTTGGTAAATTTAAAGACATCAGGTTTAACAATAACTGAAAATCCCTGTGGGGAAACAACACGGGCTTTATAGTTGCCGGGAGGGCCAACATTCTTCAGTGTTCGTCTCACGGTGGCTGAGCCAGAGAGTTCCGGGACGGTTATTGAAGGATAGTTGAGGTTTAATATAGTGAGAGGATCTGTAAAGTTGGGACATACATGCTTCTTGGCAAAGAGCTGAACCTTGTGTGTTTCATATCCACTTGCACAAAGGAATTTCTTGTAATCCGAAGGTGTCATGTCATAAACCAAGCCAGGATCTGCAGCAAGGTTTGGCTGTACGTGCCCAGCACCGTAACTGAATGGCGTTGCCTTAATATTAGAAGAATTTAAGATTGGACTACCAGTGTTGTCTATTGTGCTTGCTGCATAGAAAAAAGTTCACCATCAAACAAATGATAATTAGTACTGGGATTGAATATGTCGTCTAAATGAGTAATAAAGCCAAGTGCATGTCTATAATTTTGGTACATTTAGCACAACTCTTCGCATAAATGTGACGTGAGACGATAGTAATTATAAGAATGGTAGAAGATACCATTAGTACAAGTGAAAATGAATTGAAATATATTACCGGTGGTCATGATTGCGGATTTAATGGCAGCGGGACTCCAATCAGGGTGGATTGCTTTGAGAAGGGCGGCAATACCAGAAACGTGAGGACAAGACATGGATGTTCCAGATAAAAGGTTGAAGGGAAAAACAGTTTGCTTATCAAAGCCTGATATAGGTAATCCAAATGCAGCTAGCACACTTACTCCTGGTGCAGTGATATCAGGCTGAATATTAAACAGAAAAAAAAAAAAAAAAAAATTAAAATGGTTAAGCCAAAACTGGAAAAGCCAAAATTGAAAAAAAAGGAAAAAGGTTCTTGTTCCTGTATGTCCACGGTCAAACCTTGAGGATCTCTGGTGTAAAAATGTTTGGACCCTTAGAGGAGAAAGCAGCCATGACTGGAGCAGGCTTTGTGTTGAGTTGTGTTGTGGTATCCTTAATAGTAGCCTGCGGATTCCTACATAATCACAGTAATAATTAAGTATATATAAGAAGAAAACTGATTAAATTGATGTGATAACTCAGACAAATGTAATTGACATACTGGGTTGAGTTGATGTAGGCAAAAAGAGCTTGACCAGCTGTGTAATTGAGATGCGAAGCGGGAATCGTGTGAGGATCAGCAACGATAGCATCACCATCAGCCTTGTCGTTGCAAAGAATCATTCCAACAGCCCCAGCACGAGCAGCATTTACACTTTTGTCTGCTCTATCAACTTCGCCGCCCCTAAGACACACCACGATTTTACCCTTAGCCTTCTGGGGATCCAGTGCTCCCTCCTTGCAAAACAAACTGCATATATATATATATATATATAAAGAAATTCGAATTAGAAATCATAATCATCAAATTGCATGATACCGCAATCATGAAATTTCTTTCTATCTCACAAGGCAGATATTGTTCTGACTCACGCTTCTTTTTCGTTAGCCTTGGCAGCTTTAGCCTGTGCCCCAGTAAGAATCGGAATGGGTTTTTCTTGTCGCATTGGTTTAAAAACACCAGCTCCCTACAATCATATATTACATAATTAATAGAATCTTAAACAAATTGAAGAAACAATTAATAGCACACCAAAGTTAAACTTTTAGATGTTTATCAAACAGGGAAAAAATATATATTACTGTTCACTTTTTTGTACTTTATGTACTATTGGATCATCATAAATTTTGAATGACATGGAATTGAACCTTGAAGCGCGCTCCATTGCCAAGCTCAACGTTAGCAACAATTTCACGATCCATGGTGCTCGCCGCAACTGTTAGTATCCATGGGGCAGGATTGGAGAGAGTACTATCTCCGGGTCCTTCATTCCCGGCTGAGGCCACCACAAGTATGCCATGCTTAGCAGCATGGAATGCCCCAATTGAAGTGGCATCGTCGACGTAATCAGTGGGTCGGACTGAACCAAGCGACACTGAAAGCACGTCAACTCCGTCACGTATGGCCTGATCGAAGGCTTTGAGGATGTCCGCCTCACTGCATCCACCCTTACCATCTACTGGTGGCCAGCATACCTTATAAGCAGCCACTCGGGCTCTAGGTGCACCGCCTTTTGCAATTCCATTTGCAGCGCCAAGTATATTTGCTCCAGGCACAATGTTCCCACCTGCCGTTGATAATGTGTGAGTTCCATGGCCACCATCGTCTCGGGGTGATGAGAAATTGGAATGGTCTTTCAACTCCCTATTCATAAGAAATCCTTTGTAGAAGTACCTAGCTCCGATAAGTTTTCTGAAAATTTTGTTCCAAATAAGAAAATATCCTTGTTAAAAAAAACAAAAACAGAATATCATCTCCTGAGAATCTCTATGTTGGATTATGCAAGGCTAAATGGTGCTGCCCATATTCATTCGCATCATTCTATCAACCCAAATTTCTTTTGAATTTGAAACTTAAGTGGTAGAGTACTTGAATTAGAGGCTGACCTAGTTGAATATGGGTGTGTGCTTTGAATTGTTTGTGTGGGTTCTTACAATTGCCGATCATATATTGATTTTGTTGACTGCTTTGATATATGATTTTGTTTACATATTTTTATATTTATTCACATAGGGATTTAATGAAAATGGAACTTACTTATTGCATGCGAATCCAATTTTGGTGCCGTTCTGACATATTCCATTCCATTTTTTTGGAATGGGTCCATATCCTTTGTCACTGAAACTCTCTAATTCGGGAATGACGCCTAAAAAAACCAAGTCACAAAAAATTATAAATTCTTTATTCAAAACTCCAGAATCACAAGAATAAAAAAGAAATAATTTGAAAGGCAATCTATATATGGGATAATTAAAAGAATAAAAAATGGTTATCACTAATTACCACTGTCAAGATTTCCTATAATGATGTCTTCTCCATGTTTGGCCTTCGTCCACAAGGAGTTTAAGTCAGCGGCACCGTTATTATTTTCTAGTGAAAGAAAATTCCAAGACTTTGTTGTGTGCAATTGTAACAATTCATTTTTAAAAACGGACACAACATTTGGATCCTCTGCGTCAATATAGAAAAACATGTATCAGTAGTACATCAAAAATTAATGATCGAACATAAAGGAGACAGAATCCACACAAGATGCTGTACTTGAAATTTTAGCTGCCTGCTCCTCATCAAGCACTGCAGCAAAGCCGTTGATGTATCCTTGATACGAGTAAAATATGGAATCTTTGGCCTTCTTTGTACTGCATGAAACAATTGCATAAGCAAAGGAGAGAGTTGAAACAATGTGATGCAATAGTATGAAAAATAATAACACTCAATCTCCCTCAATTAGGTTTTTTGAAATGGAAAAGCTGAAAAGGAGACTTAAATAATTTACATTATTTACATAAGTGATTGTCATCAAACTGGTATTTAAATTTTCACTCATTTTACACACCCAACGGTCTTTTATTGTTGGGGCAATCACTTGAATTCCTCTTTTCCAATTATATATGAAAATTCTTTCCTATATATGAAAAAAAAGGATAATTTATCTAGTCTGACTTGTATATTCATATGGGATTAAGAGAATATTGATAAAAACAAAAAAGTAAAATATAATTAATCAAAATATGTGTAAAATCTCATACCTTCCGAGGAATGATGCAAGAAACTTGCAGTGAGAATCTGAAACTTGACCAAGAGCTTTCTCACTCATTTTTCGACCTTTATGCGAAGGAGTTCCCATGTACACAATATATGACTACTAACACCATAGAAGAAAAAAACAAAAACAAAAAAACACACAACGGAGAATAATCAAAGCCAGCCCCCATTAGCGAGGAAATACTAGAAAAATTAATTAAGTTCCAAATCGATCCATGACTAGAAGTGAAGATCTATCTGTAGTGCTTACCTTTTTGGCCGCGAAAGCTGGTGTTGGGGACACACAGAGAAGAATGGAGATTACAAGGAAAATTGTGAGTTTTGAAAACAACATTTTGCTTTCCATCATGGCCGCGAAATGCTGTAATCTGAAATGATATATATTTTCTTAAGTATTTATTGTACTTAAAAACTATATATCTACTGTTTGCGTCGAGGAAGAGAAGAGATTGGGGCTCCTTCCCTTCCGTTTTCGTCCTGAGGAGCGAGGAGAGGAGGGGTTGTTTATTTATACCCATATTGATATCTATACATAGTAGGGAATTAAATCTCAAAATTTCCTCCTCCAATTTTCTTTAATGTTCTTTCCTAATATAGTAATTCAGAAAATGAATTCAATAATTGCATGCATTTGCTATTTTAAATTAGAAAGAATCTACTGCACGTCTTTGTGATCATGCGCGCTTATTGCCGAAATGAATGCGTGTCGGTAAATTAATATTTTTAAAATTGAAAAGGAAAATAAATTGCATAGTTGACACAAAAGTCTGGAATTGCTGTTGCAAATTATAAAAAAAAAAATTTATAAATGGAGTTGTCAAAATATTGTGGTCAATAAAAAATATGTTAGGTGTCTAGTGACACACTAAGTCATTTAGGGTGGGAGCGAAAGTGAGAGCGAATTTAAAAGCGGGAGCGTGAGAGTTGCAAAATTAAGTCATAAATAGTGAGAATTTGAGCCAGAACGTGCGCGAAGCGTAATAGTGGGAGTGCGCTCAGAATATGAGAGCGATACCCGTTGATAATAATTGTGTCACTTAGGGTTTTTAATGTATAAATATTAAATCTTTGAAAGAAAATGAGAATTTTGAGTTCTCAATGCTTTATCTAAGTCCTACACTTGCCCTCATCTTAGGCCAACAAGTGGACCAATCATAAGCCACCAAGTGGGTGAATCCTCACCTTTCACATGTCATCATTTAAGGCTTCCAGGGTCGTCACAGGTGGTATTAGAGCTCCTAGGTTCGAATACCTTAGACGACGGGTTTTGGTTGCATATTATGTTTCAAGCCTCTCTCATTGCTTATGAGATGAGAATTGGTGTTCCAGCTGTTCACAGAAGAGAAGCTGTTTTTAAAGCCAAGGAAGTTATTGAAGAAACTGAAACAAAGTCTGAGGATGATCTTGAAACATCCCAAGCATAATGTGAATCTCGAATCTTGATTTTTGTACCTAAAAAAATCTCCCCACTACGTGACAAGTAACATAAAGCTGCTCGTAAGAGATGAGCTCTGCTGCTCGCTTGGGCGCGCGCGCGCTTATGCCTCTGTGCGCGGCGAGCTATCGACGTTAAACTTAGCATGCTGTCGAGGATATTTTGGAATCAATGTTGGATTAGTAGGTTGAATGATCAAAAGAGGGGTTTGATTTGATTAATTAAACTAATGGTTCAATTAAATCAATACAATTAAGTGACAATCTAGAAATTACAGAAAATAATATGAGAGAATACAAGAAACTATTGGGCTCCACATAGGTCGATGCTTGGACTTAAAATAAAGCAATGAAATTGGCCTCAATAAGGGCTATCACAAGCATACAAAGAAATGTTCATGTGTGGGACATCCCGATCAAATTTCATTTCCACACAATTTTTTAGGTAGTTTAAATTTAACTTAAACTCATACAGTTGAGTTCAGGCATGCCTCATTTCACACATCCCTAAATATTGATCAAAGGAACAAATTGAATTGAAAAAAGATTACATCTCTTTTCTTCTCGATTATATATATATATATATATATATATATATATATATATATATATATATGTGTGTGTGTGTGTGTGTATGTGTGTGTGTGTGTGTATATTTTCTGGTTTAGGAGTCGTTGGCTCAACGCTAGTTACATGGGGACGCAAGCTTTTTATACACTACGTCCGGACGCCAAAAGCTGTGTCTGGACGCCAAGCTTTCAAGGAACGGCTTAATGATGACAGCAGGGCATGATGAGCAACACAGTTTGGATGGGACTTATGATGTTTCCAATTCTTGGCATTTTTCTTTCTCTGGAGATTTTGAAGTCGCAAGGGCATTTTCGTCTTTTACTATTTTACGTACCGGACACTACGGGGTGTGCCGGTTGTGTCTGAGAGTTGTTTGGGACATTTCATTGAGTCCAGAACTCTGTGAAATGTAAGGGTGATTATTTTTGCATTTTTCAGTTTTTCCGGGCCGAACGGTTCCGTGTGGGACCCATTACCAAATTGTTGCATCCAGGTATTTTGATTGGGTCCATTTGCACTCCATGCATTTTATTTGAGGTGCTTTATGTGAAATTTATAAAGTTGCATATATGTATAATTATGTGATGTAAAAATAAAAGGAAAAAGAAAAAGGTAAAATAAAAAGAAAATAGTGGGACCCACTTTACACATTTAGGTGAGTTAGAGACCATTTTAGGTCTCATTTCTCACTCTCCCCGCTGGTTCTCTCGCTCCCTTCCTTGGGTTCACTTTTTCTTTTTCTTTTTGCTTCCAAACTTCAATCCTAGATCTCTTTCTCTATACTTGGTATTTTTAAGTGTTGTTTGCAGCAAATTGAAACCCACGATGAAAACTTTAAGTTGATCAGAGCAATTTGGTGTTTGGTGCACTATAAGAGAATTGGGATCTAGGGCAAATTGTGATACCCTTTGGATCCGAGACACGGGTTGATCAGGCCCAAGTCCAAACCCGATGGAATATTAAACAATTAATAATTAAAACGAACATGGAATACAAAAAAAATGAAATAAGAAATAAATAATTAAGAACTGAAAGAAATCTAAGTTTAAAAATCCCTGAATAAATAAATTTAAAAATCTAGAAATCCAATCCTCCATAAAACCTCCAATAATTAACAACTAGGGAATTCATCTCTAGTGGACACCTAATGAAAATCCAAATTGAAATGAAACTACTCAAAGAACATCCAAAGTAAACCATAGAGGGAAGTCCTGCATCGTCGGAAGAGTGAGTGATAGTCTCTGCTCAGCACGATCAGGTCTAAAACTGGAACTGGCGAATACCTGAAAAATAGAAGTGGGTCAGGCTCACGAACAAGTTCTATCCTACTACAATCCGAATATAGACTCGATACGCATGTACACCCTAACCAACTCAACAATAACTATGTAATCCGTACACACACACACACACACACACACACACACACACACACACATATATATATATATCCACACTATGGGAGTCTCACTGGACTATGATGAGGGTCTCAACCTGAGTAGAAGGCAACATGCAAAACGCACCTGAGTGGGCATGACTCTCTAAGCCTAACAGGGTATAGTTCAACCAACATAGTCAGCTGCGCATCCTACTGTATATACTCTCCCTAACCGTTGACTTTGAGACTCAAGCTCATATTACGGTACCATAAAAATATATTTAAAGTCCTATCCTATCCATCCATAAGAAATCCAGTAAGCCACTCAGCTTGTTCAGCTGTTCTGACTTACATATCCATAGCAAGTAATCTAGTTAGTCATTCAACTGTGTTTCAGCTGATCTGACTTAAATATAAGTAGGATTTATTTTATAATCCATTCCCTTATTCCATATAGGTAGGATTTAGTATTTTGAAACTAATCCGTCCCTAATATGCCACCGTCCCATACCGGTGCATACAATCCATCCATCCAGTAGTTGATAATACAGATAATGAAAGTAAATATCAACTAATCCATACATCCAACAATTGATACTAAAAATAATAATGTAAGCATCAATAAGCATAGTAAAATTATATACATAAACATGCTTAGTTCATATTGCTTCACATAATTCGGTAAATTGATAAATTTAAATCATAATACCACTAAACATCAACTCATCCCCAAAGAGCATAATTGAAATACATGATCATAGTATATCGCGATACAAGTTTCAATTATACAAATCTTCACAGAAAAATTGCTAACAATAAAGATTAAGCAATTTAAATCTTCCAACTCCAAAACAGAGTACTAATTTGTTTAAACCATATGCTGTTCAAGTGATGACAATAATTAGATTATTAACATGCTTCCTAGAGCCTTAATATGTCTCTGAGCATCATCTATACTCCCCACATACAGCCCTAAACCCAACTGGAACCACAGAAATCCAACCATTGTAGCCAAAACTTACTGGAAACGGAAAAAAAATAAAAATTTAACAAGGAGCCGGCTCCAAAAACATGTGGAGCCGCCTCCACCCTCTTGGAGCCGCCTCCAATAAAGTGTGGAGCCGGCTCCACTTCAATGGAGCCACCTCCATTGAAGGGTGGAGCCGCCTCCACTTTTCCCAGCCTCCATCTTCTCCGACGCCGGCTATTTTCTGACTTTCTGATCATCTGTCCTCCATTCCTAAAGCTCTTAGGTGTCTAATACTAGGTCCAGTGTGTTCCAGAATTAATTAAACTCTTAATTCATCAACCAACATCAATTAAAATACAAATTATGCAAGAAGAATTTAAACCGAAACAATTACCCATTCATGAACGTACTGTTTCTAATGATCACCCATGTGAACCAGATTAAGTTTAATGTTTTCCCAAGGTGTTCCATCACTGATTAAATCCTTTATTCATTAATTGACATCAATTAAAACATGAAGTAAATCGGAAGTTACACAAGAAAGAATTTAAAGCAAGTAATAACCAACTTGTAAACATTTCCAGTTTTAAGTATCTTAGACATGCAATCCAGTTTAATCTTAAACTTTATTTAGTCCTGGAGTTGAATTAGTCGTTTAAAGAACACGAGTCAAAGGGAGAGAGTTAGGAATAGAACTTGCCTTTAGGTCTTAGACCGTCGTCTTCCTAAATTCTCCGGCGAAATCCAACTACTGTCCTCATCTGTTCTCTCTCTGCCTCCACAGTCGTGAAAAGGATTCTAAAATCCTAAGCAAAACTTAATAATTATATTTATAGGCCACCCTTAAACCTAAGCCTAAGTACAATATGAGACGGAGAACTAAGTTGGCTACAACGTGAAGAAAAATAAAACAACACCCGAATTAATTGCAATACTTCAATTAAAGACAAATAATAATAATAAAAAAAAACAATTAATCAATTTAATTCAAATAAATCAAATAATAACAATTAATTCAATGTAAGTCAAATAAATCAAAGAAATAACAATTAATTCAAACAAAACAAGCAAATAAACTATTAAACAAATAAAAATGCAATT